TTTTGTTCTTTAAAGTTTTTAATGTAAGTCAATATCTTTTTACTTATTCGAAAGCGGAAAAGTCAATTTTTCTACATAAAACACGTTTCCAGACGGGTTTTCGTTAATAACTCTAAACTATCCAAAAACAACGTATTTATCCAAAAAAAACTCATTTTTTTATTATACGTGTATACTGTGTGTCAAATATGAAGGAATCTTCTTTATCAGTATTGTAATGTACGTGTTCTTTTAATAACTGTAAAAAATGTAATTGGGTATTTTTACAACAATTAACTTAGTTTTTGACCTAGCAAGTTTAATAAAAAACCATTGTGTAGGTTTTTTAAAAGCTATAAGCCAATATATGCTAATTTAAGTTCTTGTTTTTCATAAGTTTTGAGCTGATAGAGCTTGAAATCGTAACTATTTGCGATCATATGCAAAAACGGTCATATTTTACTCAATTTTCATCAGACAGAAAGAGAAACTAAAATGTTTATAAGAAACCTTCAATTTTTAACTCTTTAAAATTTTGCATATATTTCATAGTTTTTGAGTTATTTTTGAAGAAAGGCAATTTTTTCATAACTTAACTTGCAAAAATGCTCTCGTCATTTCAACCTAATATTTTTATAAAACTAAGTTATTTAAACCGGTCAAACTTATAGGGCATATAACAAGTGCATATTCGTAGAAGAAAAGCCTCTAAATAAATATATAAATAAATAAAAAAAAAGTGGTAGCGATCATTTTCAATTGGGGTGGTTATTTGAGGGTGATTTTTTTGTCGCCCAATCTAGGGAAGAATGATGTCTTTATCATTACCCGTTAAATTTTAATACTAGAAACTTCCATAAAAAACGTTTTTTCAAGCCCTTAAAAAATTCTATTGTGATTTCCCACAAAATGCATTGTTTTTTGGATACTTATTTTTTTAAAACCAACCTTTAATAAGCTATTACTCCGTTAGTATTCAATATAGTTGTATTTTAAACCCAGTATTTCGTTTTTTAAGCAATAGTTTCACTCCAACGATTATTTTTCATAAAATACTTACACATTTATTCTTAAAAACCACCTGAAAACGTGGTTATTCTTATTGAAATGTTGACGTTTCCACTTTCGAATAAGTTGCAATGTATTGCCTATCTGTAAAAACTTTATAGTACAAAAGTGACTTAGAGTTAGTCTATCCATTCCCAGTCTTATTTTTAACAAATTAAGTTTTCATCTACGAGAAGTGGTAGCGTCCCCAGAATTAAGCAACACACATTGACAACTATGAAGTAGAGGGAAATAATAATTTCCCTCTACAATGTCAATGTGTCGCCTGCAGCCAAATTTTGGTGCTAATCGGTGCTGTTTGGTAGAATTGCTAGGGCAAACCGTGCATTGACTGGACATTTCTTAGGTTGCAAGGCAACGCAATCTCTTTGCATTGTCCCCACAATGTCAAATGTAATCCCGTCTGCTGCCTGGACGGCATGGAATATTGTCGAGTAAAATTGTCTTTAGATTTATAAACATATGCTTAAAGTATATATTTTATAATGTCGTTTATTTTGTTAACAATCATAAAGATACTTAATGTCACAGTTCTTTGTCTGGTTTACAGAAAATATACTTATTGACGTGACAACGTCTTAAATTAGGTTGCGGCTGGGAGTCACTTATGAAAAAGTGTAACGCTCCGTAACGTTACGATGAGTCTCTCGTGTTAAGTTTAAGTTTACATGTACAATGTTTTAGTAAACAAAATATATTTCTATAGTTAAAATTTGTGCAATTCTTATTTTCATTCAATTCCTTGTTCCTATTGTGCAATTTAATTATATTCATATCAATAAATATTCTACCGAGAAAAAGACGTTGTCACGTAAAATCTTCGCCCGTAAAACCGACTTTACAGGCAACCATTTTTTACTTAAGTTTTTTGGTGTTTATTATTACAACTCACTCGTAAAATTTAATGGTGAATCATTGTTTCTTTATGGGTCTCTAATGGCGTGATTTTGGATGAGCAAAAAGTCTTATTAAGTATTTATAGTGAATCGTTTGCAGACGTGTTAACGAGGTATCAAAAAGTACTAACGAACGTACTTAGATTTACTCAGTAACGTCAATTAATCTTAAAGTTTGATTAAAGTTGATGCTACCACTTTCTTTGCTATAGTTGAACAGTACCCTTAGTACGAACCAATATCGAATTCGAATAGTTTGCGAGTACGAAATTTCATGGTCAAATATGTACTGATTTTTAGTTCTCGCAACGTCAATTATGGCGCTGCTATTCAAGTTTCCATACAAAATTTAGCAATGAAATTTCACACTCCCAAACTATTCGAATTTCATATTGGTTCGTGCTAAGGGTACAGAAGCTTTAGCACGAACCAATATCGAATTCAAATAGTTTGCGAGTGCGAAATGTCATTGTCAAATTAATACCTCTACGCGTTCATGAGAAAAGAGGTAGTAACTTTAAAATTGTAAAAAAAATGGTTGCCTGTAAAGTCGGTTTTACGGGCGAAGATTTTACGTGACAACGTCTTTTTCTCGGTAGAATATTTATTGATATGAATATAATTAAATTGCACAATAGGAACAAGGAATTGAATGAAAATAAGAATTGCACAAATTTTAACTATAGAAATATATTTTGTTTACTAAAACATTGTACATGTAAACTTAAACTTAACACGAGAGACTCATCGTAACGTTACCGAGCGTTACACTTTTTCATAAGTGACTCCCAGCCGCAACCTAATTTAAGACGTTGTCACGTCAAAAATATGTGATGTAACTAAAAATTTACGGTTTTCTGTACTATAAAACGTTACTTCGTACCAAAATTCAAGATTCTAAGTTCACGGGAAGTGCCCTGTAGGTTTTGATTACCGTGCGAGTTTCAAAAACTTGCAGAAATTCGCGGCATAAACGGCTGTATTTTTTGATTGCTTTAGCTTACGGAACCCTCGGTGCGCGTTTTCTGACTCGCACTTGGCCGGTTTTTTTATATTTTCTGCCCAGGCGGGGGGGAGCGGAAATTCTCATGGATACCCTACAGCCTTCCTCCCAAGCAGGAGAGCGTGTGCGAAATCCTCATGGATACCCTATAGCCAGCTGCAAAGTTATGTCAGAGTCTTACTGATTAAAAGTTTCATCTAAAGCGATCAACCCCTGAGAAAGGGATAATGCGGTATAACTGCCGATCTTTTCAAGTGCTTATAAATACTTTTTATAAAAACGTAACGTTAGCTTAGCGCGGCTTAGAAACCGTTGCCATTGGTACTTGCGGTAGCGTTGTGGAACTAATTATTTTTTTAAAAGCTTTTTAGATTTTGTTGCAATGGAAGGTTTTACGCTACAATGACTTCATCTATGTCTTAATGTTTCTTCTAAGGATTTTTTAACATGTAAGAAATTTTCTTTCACCAAAGTTGGACTGTTACTCTTAAATTAACAATTTTATCTTAACCGTTATAGTTTTCCTTAAAAGTTTATTAAAAAGCACTATTATCATAAATTTTTCCAGGTTTTTCTTAAACTTTTAGAGGACGGGGGACGACGACGAACAAAACATATATATATATATATATATATATATATATATATATATATATATATATCTCTAGTGCTAATAGTCTCATAGAAAAACCGGGAACGGACTGATGGTCATGACGAAACTAAAAGGGCTCCTTGTCAGGACTACGGAATCCTAAAAAAAGGCCTGAGTTAAAATCTTTTTTTTTTAAATGGTAAAAAAAACTCGTTTTTTTTCATTCTACATCATAATTGTTAATACATAAATTTTATAAGGACTTTTTGTACATCAGCTGGATGCACTGGACTCGGTGGAACACCGTGTGAAGAGACTCATAGGCAATGACGCTCTCGTTGAGGCTAATCTTCAGAGCCTTGACCACCGAAGACGTGTAGCTTGCCTTTCGGTGTTTTATCGGTTACATTTCGGAGAGTGTGCGGAGGTATTACATAATTTGATCCCCCCTTCCCCTTTCCACCACCGGACGACCAGGCGCGGCGAGGGCTTCCACCCTTATGTTGTCGAAGTTCCTCCCATTCGCACGAAGCGATTTGCTTCGGCCTTCATTATACGAACGGCTAGGGAGTGGAACTCCTTGCCGAGGTCTGTTTTCCCGGACCAATATAACCTGGACATCTTCAAGGCCAGAGTGAACAGGCATCTTCTAGGCAGGCGTGTACCATCCTAGGCCTCATCATCGCTTTCCATCAGGTGAGATTGTGGTCAAACGCATTGCCTATCTAGCATAAAAAAAAAACTTTTTGTACATGTATAAGCTCTTCAATTTTTCACAACAAACGGAAGTTTATGTTCTTTTTGGGGAAGTTAAGAGGGTTCGTAGAAAAGTCGAAAAAGCTAGCATCGTTACGCTAACTGCAGGATATTTGTAATGAAAACAACTGGCAAAAAGCAACAGTTCAGACTAAAAAACGTAAAAAAATAGACATACATAGTAATAGAATTTACTTGTCTTGTCAGGATGTCGATTCTGTTACGTTAAAGTAAAAACCGTGTATCAATGGAGTTTCAGTAGTTCTGATTTTTAACACAGTCATTGTTACTGAATCACAAAATTTCAAATAAGTATATTTGTTTCCTCATTTGTTATCTACACTTACGCATTATTTGCACGCACAAAAATTGCTTCAAAAATCGATACCACTGAACCACTAATAAGTCACGATTTTAACTTTAGCGTAGCAGAATTGGGTAAAATTGTACTTCCAGGGCCCAAGAGGTGATACTTGGTTGTTTTTATAGAGAAGGTCTCTTTTAAAAGAGGTTATTTTGGCGCTTCGCTTGCCGCTGCCGCGGTACGCTCGCTTTGCTCGCTCGGCTTGCGCGTTATGGTCACAACACTAACCTAACCCAACCTAGTGTGAAGTATCATCGCTGGGGCCATGGAAGTACAGTTTAGCCCAGAATTGCCAAGGTTGAGCAACAAAAGTCGCGTTACTAATTAATGTAGCCTACTTACTTTGGATGGCTATCATAGCTCGGCGGTTTTCCAAATATTGGATACGAGTCGCTAATTCCTAAACTCTTCGGGCGTGCTTCTTTGAGCCGCGGGCGGTGCGACCTTTCATACAGGTGGTCAGACGTGTGGTATCTTTGCAGACAGCGCAGCTTGCTCTTTCCTCCAGGCGGAGTTTGAGTGCATTGGTCCACACGACTCGATTCCTCCACAATTGTCACGAAGCTTGCCTCCGATATCTTAAACAAGAGAATGTTACTTAAGTGTAATGAACAAAAAAGGTAGGGCACAAACATAGCCACTTAGCGCAATCTCCCTTAACTTATACACAGTACTTCAGTTCTAAATATCTAAGTTTCTTTCTATTAAGAATTTTCCAAAGGAAAGTCGTTTTGCAGTTGTGATTGTTAGAGTAACTCGTAGCAAAAATACACGTTGAGAAAACGATGGACAAAAACTAAATAAAAAATAAGAAGTATCAGACTATTCTCTTTCTTTAAAAAACCTTTTAAAAAACGATATATGCAACTTTATTAAAAATAAAACTAATTAATAGCAATAAAATAAACAAATCGTTAGCATTATGTTTCTTGCTTGTTTACTAAGTAAGTTGACAGTACTGCAGAATATTTTTTACCATCACTTTAATCATCATGAATGACTGATGACGCACTTTCAGTAGATATAGCTTTGATATTTGTAAGTGTTATATGTTTTCAGAAAAATGGAATCAGAGTTTCATGGTACTAGCGGGTGATGTCGAGTGTGTATAGATTACAGAAGCCAGTCAGTTGCAGGTATCATCTCAATTATCTAACGAGCAGCACGGGTTCAGGCCTGCACGCAGCACCACCAGCAACTTAATGAACGCGATGACCTACATCGTAACTCGTGTGGACGCAGGAATGCAAGTTGACGTCGCCTACTTCGACTACAAAAAAGCATTCGATCTTGTCGATAACGACGTAGTGTTGGCGAAGTTGGCTGGGGTCGGTTACACTAATCAACTCCTTAATTTGTGAGAGTATTGTGCAGTGTTTTGTTTCATTTCTGAGCATGGTCGCTATCTAATTTCTATCCGTTTCCAGTAATCTGTATAACTCGGCATTCTATACAATACCTAGGCAATATATAGAATACCAAAACGTCAAGGCAATGTAGGAAATATTATTCATTTTATACTAGTCAATGTATGTAAAAGACGATAGTGCGTCGACCTTTCCTTGTTTTATTACCTGTTCTATATATTATTATCAATTTATCTATTAGGTGGCTGGCGCTTCACCGGCCGTTGCCGCGGAACACTCGCTTTACCCGCTCGGCTCGTTCTAGGTTAGGATAAATACAGGCTAAATCTGTTTATTTTACATATTGCCTGTGGGCCAGCAGGTCCTCTATATAACCCCTAAGAATTATATACATACATTACCTAGGCAAAGTTTAAAAAGGAAAATAATATTTATAATATTTCATACATTGCCTAGACGTACCAGGCATTCTATACATTGCCTAGGTATTGTATAGAATACACAGGGCCGGATTTAAGGCAGGCGTGGCTGTGACCCAGGGGGTATAATCGTAGGTGTTCTGGATCAGATTTATGGGCCCCAAGGGTAAACCTCGCTTTATATAAAGTTAATCGCTTAAAAAGGTCATATTTGTCAAAATGGGTTATTGTAAATCTAAATATAGCCTATGTATTGTATAGAATACCTGCATTATACAGATTGCCGGTGACATATATATTATACTAGTTGTGCCCCGCGGTTTTATCCGCGGTTTATTTGAGATATTTTCCCGCAGGTAGCCTATGTGTTAATCCATGATGTCAGCTAACTCCATACCAAATTTTATTAAAATCGCTCCAGCCACTTAGACGTGAAGAAGTAACAAACATACACAATTACAAATTTTCGCCTTTATAATATTTGTGTGATGTGGTTGTAGTAGCAGGCGAATGATAAATTCCTATCATATAAGTATTTGACCAAGAACAGCGTTACGTTATCTTTAAAAGAATTCTTCTACTACCTAGGCAATTAGTGAATAATAATCTAAACTAATATTACAAAGCCCTAAGAGTTTGTTTAATCGTTTGGTTGGACGCGTACATCTCAGGAACTATACTGATTCGAATCGAACAATATTTTTTGTAATAGATAGCCCATTTATCGAGGATGGTTATCTATAAATATAATAAAATGGTAGGAAAGTCAAAACTGTACACTGTATATTTTTTTAGTATTCTCTATACTTGGGGTGTGATCTACAATGGATACCGGAACCAAAAATATTTCAGAATGTTTGTCTGTATGTATGTCCGGGATAAACTCAAAAAGTACTGCATGGATTTACTTTCAAATTTGGCACGAATATTAGTAAGAAGTCGAGTCAACATATTATAGGCTACATAATTATCACGCTATCACCTACGGGAACGAGCAGTGAACCTTTATTTCTAAGTACCTCCAACTGTACGAAGTCGCGGGCGGCCGCTAGTATGCTATATAACATCATAATAAGATTAATAGAAGCGGAGCATCAATGAAAAATATTGCGAAAGCAGGAAAAAATATTCCTTTTCAGAGCTGACGTTGCGTTCGCTACGTAAACGGTTAAAGTTGCACAAAAACCACGTGTAAAGAAATTGTTCCCCTTTGAAAGTTTTAAAAAAAGTCCTAGTTGCATATGTCCTTCTTTTATGGTTGTAACCTTTTTCTGGTAATCAAAATTGTTCCAAAATAATGCATTACGAGTATTTGCGAAGGTGTTTTTACTGAATCACGCAAAAACAACTGAACGGATTTCGATGAAATCTGGTGCACATATAGTTTGTGATCTGGATTGACTTTATATGCCGGAAAATGTCAAGTGCCTGAGGGATTTTCAAAAAAACTAAAGTTAACGCGGACATATTCGCGAGCGGCCGCTAGTGAATCATATTTTGATTTGGTAAAGCCGTCGATTCAAACGTGTACCTACACGTTAACGGCAATCAAACGAACCATGATATTGCAGGTTAGCCTGTGAGAACAAAATGTAAAACGGTAATTTTACTGATTGCATGTGATGACCCGACACAACCGGGTGGCGTGGCGCGGCGTTGATTGCCAAGCCGCCATTGACATTGCCCGTTAAATGAGATGTTAGAGGCCAATCATACGCTAATCGGTTACTAAATAAAAGAACTTTATGGTTTAATTATACAGACTTCCATTGAGAAGTGTACTATGTTGACTGCGTTTAAGTTACGCTGGTTAAGTAGTATTGAATAATTAGTAGGTAGGTACAAACTTATTTGATTCGTAAATTGGAAATGTTAAATAATTGCATGGATAATTTTCCTAGAATGTTAAGTTCCTGTAATGGGTGGTCTGAGTTTTAGTAAGGGTTGGAATTTATGGTTAAGAATGACTCGAATTATCCACGAATAATGTAAACGTACGTTTTAAATGGGCACACTGGTACTTTTATAATCTACCGGGGAAGCTAAGGAATTTTGGCAAATAGTTTAGGAGTACCAAACAATGACAATAGTACATACTGTTTTTTTTTTGTATTTCTAGCGCTGGAGCGACACCGATATGATGATGAATATTTGGGTAAGCATATGGGTAAGTAGGTATAATAAGATAAAATGAAAACAACAAGCGTTATTTGTATTATGTTTTTATTGTCATGCGAGGGGAAAACTAAACAAAATAAGTAAATATTTATTTAGATGATAATGTCATTTTAAATAAATATTGTTGCTTAGAGGTTAGCAGCTGAGATAAGTGACTAGATGTCTATGATCTACCAAGGTCACTAATAAAATTATACAATATATACACGTTATAATATTTTGTCTATATAGACTTTTCTTTGTTTCCATTTAATAGTTGAGTAATAACAAAAAAAATCTTAATGTAGGTATTGTCTGTATTTCCTGTATTTCCCAGGTTTTGTCAGTAGGTACCAAATGTGGAACGGACGCCCTTAAAGACTGTTTTAACAAGTAACACTGTTTCTAATGAATATGTTATGAAATTTAAAATTACTTACTACTTACATACCTATTTGTGCAGAGTTCAATGGTTCAAACAGTTTATTTTATAAGAAAACAGATAAATAATAAAATAAATAAATAAATATTTCCAACACTCACACCAATTAGCCTAGCCCCAAAGCACAAAGTAAGCACTGTAAGGCTTGTGTTATGGGATACTAGGGTAACGGATACAATACATATACTGTACATATATAAATATATTTTTATTTAGAAATACATATGAAACATCCATAACTGAAGTACAAATGCTCGTATTCATCACACAAACATCTGCCCCCACCGGGATTCGAACCCGGAACCTCTCGAGTCGGCGACACCATGAAACCCGGCGTACAAACCACTCGACCACGGAGGTCGTCAATATGTTATGTTAGATAAAAGGTTATTCTTAACTAAATATTATTATGGTACAGATGAGGACATCGTAGATAATTATTTTTCTTTTTTCTCCAATCACAAAATACCTAGCTTCTCTAGCAATAGCATCAATAACCTATACATTGTTCAATTAAGTAGTTTGCGTTACTTATAAAAACCGACATTCATTGACAATGGGACGGATTTAAATAATAGTTATCAACGTCTACTAGGGCGCGTACACATAGAACGTCAGTTTTTACAGGATCCTCTTTGAAGTGAAACTTCTTTACGCAGTAAGCTGTCGAACGCGTTACGAAAAGTGTGATCGGGCGAGGCGAACGGGAGTTGAGTGGGGGATATAAGCAAGAGAAAGCGTGCGCATATTTTCTCTCTCTCTTTCTCTTATAGCTAGTAAATGAAATATGTATATGTACATACATGTATATGTTGTACACACATATATACATACAGATGTAGTTAAAGAAGTTTCACTTTAGTCTTGTGGTCATAAGCACACTCGTTTTTTTAACCGATCCGTCGCTACTGGATTACGTACCCTCTAATCTGTGTACTGGATGTAATATTCACATTGAACATTCCTGTGTGCAGCAGCCCGTACTCCGCGCCCCCGTCCCCGTGGCAATAAGCTTAGCGCGGTTTCGATCCGATAAAATCGGGTCGTTATTTCCGTATTTTCCGTTATGTGTGAAATTTTTTACTGGATCCGGAATACTGTCATGTGTGTGAACTAGCTCATGCAACTACAAACGCCAAATGATGTTATATGTTTGAACGGACACGGGAACGAAAACGAATTGATTGCTGCTT